AATTTTCATATGTTTTTATAGGTAATAATGCATGGTTGAAGTATGAAACCGTTTGAGCCAAGAAGGACGCTATAAATGCAAAATTTTGGAGTCAAAATACTGGCATTTGCGCTTAGCGCGACTTTTATCGCGTTGGGAACAACATAAACCTCTTCATCAAGTGGACCATTCAAAAACAAAGATATGACGTCCATTTGATATATCGCCCAATCGTTGTTATTTGCAATGTCAACAACTAATCGGGTCGTTTCAAGCCTAGCCACAAGTGCAAACACTTCCTCGAAGTCTATACCTTCACATTGCAAAAATTCCTTCACTACCAATTGAGCCTTATGCTGTATCACCTCGCCTTTGGGATGAGCCTTCACTTTATAGACCCATTGCACACCAATTGGCTTCTTTCCAAGCAGTAAATCGACCAAATCCCAAGTACCATTTTTTCAATAGATTACAGCTTCTCCTTCATAGCACAAATCCACTTTAGGTTGCTTTTATCTCTTTTCTAAAATTGTATGCTTTAGGTTTTTTCCTTAGTAGAGATTTATCGATGGTTAAGCCTAGGTTTTTCATGAATTAGCATTACAAATTATCCTGTTGTTAATTAACGCTTAAAACTGTGATCCTAAAATTCTCAACTATATTGAGTTTGTAAGTTTTTACTTCTCGTGTATATTTGATATTAATTAAATACAATACTTTGATTTATTTTGTGGTTAGTTGATTGATTCAATATGTTATCATATTTTGTATCAATTAAGGTGTTTTGTATATATATCGTCCGATAAGCTTAATCGATCTTTTACACATTTTGCTCCTTGTAAAGTATTGCATTCTCGTATTCTCACCCAACAATTAACCTCATAGATGGTCTTTTGATCTGTTTTAAGTGACCAAAAAGTTTGATAATATGGTTACATGATCAGAAGAAAAAGAAGAAAAAGAAGAAGGAACCATGTGTATGTTAGACTACATGTCATCTGCCTCTTCTTTCTCTTTGGCCTTCAATACTCCCTTTCCTCCGGCGCTATCTCTGATACATCAATTTTCCATGTGCCTTCGTCATGATGGAATCTAGAATCCACCTCACATCAGAATCATCAAGGAAGATACCTTTATCAATGCATGACTGCACAATCTCCACTTTGTGACGATATTTAGGCAAGACATCATCAACATGATCTAACTGTGCATGTTCCTCCTCTAGTATCTCCTGATGAACTGGCCTCGGTGGATCTCTTAGAGCAGCTTGCACCATATACAAATGTGATACCCTGAAGAACCATTTGATGTACTCGTCGATGTAGCTCCAATTGCTCTCAGCTATGGTACTTTGTGCCTCCTCCGATACCAGATGACTTTCATAATCATCAAATATGGCATCCATCTGTCTACATGTCAAAGTAGAAGGAGCATAGACAACAGGGTGTTTGAGAATAATCTGAGTGTATTCGAACTGTCGCATCACGCTCTCAGGCAGATGAGCAGCAGTGAAACGTGATCGCAAGTCAACCATCATGAATATAACATTATCTCATAAAATGGCCATGTATCACGGTGATCAATATATTTGTTGAAGTGCATGTCCTCGGCAATCAAGTGGTCAAGATACACTCTGAACGACTTTATCGCATGGTTTCCTCTGAGCGTGGTAAATGCATTAGCATGTGATATATCCTTAGTGTAATTCGGTACACCTGCCCAACCAGAGATGCGTGAGAAGTGCTAGAGGATCCAACTCTGAAAAGCTTGGAACACACGAATCATCAGTAAGGGTGTTGCAAAGATTCATTGAAAATGACAAAAAATATTAAAAGACCAATAAATATTATCGTCAATACTGTGATGTTGCATGTGACATGCTTCATCTTCCACGCATAACCCTTTAATAACTTTGAGTACAAGTAGACTAAATAAGTGGACCCATAGTTGTACTCATGGATCCGCTTGAAGTACCGTAGGTAGACGACATTTGTATAAGTGACACTTTTGTTCATAAAAATCACAGTGCCAACCAAATATAACATGCATGCTCTCATAGCATACCCTCTATGGAGCCCCCACCTGTTCGTCATCCTCCATAGCCTGTTGTGCTCTAAGGAGCTCATCTGCATATATCTTTTTCGAGAATTTAAACTTAGCATGAACCCTTCTAATTCTCTCCATCTCCGATATCGCAACCTCTGGATCAACTCTTAGATAGTCTACCATCAACTCGAGTGTCTTGTCTTTACTAATCCTCCTATAATGTAGAAGTTTCTCCCTGGTCGAAAGATGTAACGAACACGACACATCGTCGAGTGTGATAGGAATCTGACCAAACGGTAGGTAAAATGACGAGGTCTCAGTGTGTCATCTCTCCATGGATGCATTAAGCATCTCGTGGTTGACTGTAATATAATCGGTCATGCACAAGTTCTTCATCCCATATAGGAACAAAGCTGCCTGAAACCACTCCTCATTCGGCTGAGGCAAGCTAGTAATCTTTTACATGTGGTTAATAAACTTTAGTGAATCACGGTCCTGCAGAAAAATAAATCAAAGTCAGAAACTTGTAATATATTAATTAACGTAAATTAAAAAAAGAATCCAACTAATATCATCTCTCTGTTTCAGATATGTCTGGTTATATGGTCTAAGTACATAGGCAGTAGTGACAATTCTACAGGGCCTCATCCAAATAGCTCTGGCTCAGGATCCTTAACAGTCTCACCATCTAGAGGTGGCACTGGCTCAGCAGCATCAGCATGCGGAGGTGACACTGGCTCATAAGCATCGTTATAGGTAGCACTGTCTGAGAAGCATCTGTCGGAGGTGACATTGGTGCCTCCGGTACCACTGGTGACTTAGGTGGCTCTGGCGTCTGAATATGTGAAATTTGACGTATGCAAGAGGATGGAGAGAGTGGCATGTCGATAGGTGAAACTTGTCTCCTACGGAAAGAAGAAGATGGAGAAGCATGAGGAGAAGCATGAGCCTTAGAAGTAGATGTCTCTGCATGACCAAAGTGAGCAAGAGCCTCTGAAACCTGACTCTTCTCCTGTCGCATTGATGCATGTTGTGCAATCCTCTTGTGCCTCAGTCCACCGTGTCTATTAGTCATAATGTCTGTAAGTAAAGTAAACTAGACAATTAGCGCAAGAAAGCAACACTACAAGTAAGAAAAGAAAAAAAAATAAAACAGATTGCTAATTTATGAAGATGCGTCTCCGGATACTGGAAAACCTAAACGTTGAAAAATTTCAGAGATGTATCTCTAAAATTTTCTGCGACTCTTCGGGTTCGTCAATGACGGCAATGCAGACATGCAAACCCCCAAAATAATGGTTTGATCATCATTTTCAGCCAACATGTTTTATAGTATGTCTAAACTGTCATTCATGCAATTCCTACTCACTTCTTACCTTAATCATCAATTTCTACTTATTTACACAAAAACTCAAACTTGTCAAAACATTAAAAAAAAACTTACAAATATAGTTTATGTCACACTTTAATGATGCACTTGATGTTGATTGTAGAACCTCTGAACTTGGTTGTTTGATTTGGGAGTTGGTGGATGAAAAACACTTTGAGTGTTCGAGCAAAGTAGAAATGAGAAAGGAGAAGGGTTTTGATGCAGTTTAAACTCCAATACCTTTCTGAGAAGCACCTCTGGAATAAATTTGAAGATGCATCTCCGAAATATTTTAACGTTAGATTAAAATTTGATGTGTCCGAAAATACATGTCCAAAATCTAAGATTATTTTAGTATTTTCATGTACTACCTAAATAATATATTGAGTGCAGTAAAAAAATTCCCTTAAAAAACCATTTCTAGACCTCATCCAACCTTTTAAAGAAAGAAAACTTTCAAAGAGAAGAATAAGATGATCCCTAAGAAGGACTACGGCAACCCTACAATTTAAAAATCTTATATTAAACACTAATAACTAAGGTCACAAATAAACATTAAAAAAAAGCCGACTTAACCAAATCGTCAAAAATAGGACGGAAAGAACACGGTGAAGAATCACTTTTTTCTTTAATTAGTTCCCAGTAGAAGTAAATCTATCAAGGCATATAGATTGAGAATAAATTAAGTTTTTAATGCTGCCACCGGCTGAGCTGAAGATATGCTTTTTGAGTTAATGTTTAACCATTGTGACTCCAGGCCAAAATTGCCCAAATCAGAATTAAAAAATATGAGCCGACTCCTTGACTATACAGAATGCGAATTCATTGTCTTATTTAGAATTTCTTTATTGATTTCTTAGCTTATCAAGGCATGTGTTGTTGGTTGATATGCAGGATTATTTGAAAGCAGTTTGAGTCTATCTGCTTATACTCATTTTTCTAGTTATCTTGAAATACAGAAATTAAGTACATACAAACTGTTCCATGTTAAGGCAGCAACTTCTGTGATCTAGAAAAATAAAAGAGAAAAAGAAAATAACTATGGTGAGGGTATTTTCCGGACAAGATAAAAGTTTCAACCACCACAGTTTTCAAAAATTGTAGACAATTATTCAGATAGTATTATCTGGCCAGGTAAACTGTGAGATTTCAATCGCCGCAATTTTTAAAAAATCTGCAGAGGTTTGTCAGGATAGTATCATTCACAAACAAATGTATAGGATGTATCTGGATTTTACTATCCAGAGGACGAAGGAGTAATTTTGAAAATTCATAGATATAGGGTGTTAATTTTAGAAGACAGACAATGTTCTATAAAATCCTAAAATATCATCAACCAGAACATTCTCAAATGTAGACAAAAACCATTAAATCTTTCATTGCAGGAAATAACCTCTAGTCACATGTATGGTATCATCCTTGGTGTTCAGAGAGAGCTAAATAAATAAAGAATGGTGATAGTGAAAAGGAAGAATAGCTGCAGCAGCCTGCAAAATGTTCATTTCATAAAAAACCTGGTAATGACATTCATTTCAAGGTTTATTTTGTAGTTAATAAGTTCTCTTTTAGAGAAAAAATAATGGTCCTCTTATGAGCGAAATTGCAGTTAGAGCCTGACTGGTATACAAAGCCCGTCATAACTCAGTTGTGCATCAAGGCCCTCAGACTCCAATAATTTTGTAAGGTAGCCATTCACTTCTTCATGATCCATCAGATGCATCATTCCTTTAAATTGTAAACAAAAGAAACATCGAAAATTACTTTTTTGAAGCGTTTTCAATTTTCATTGATGGAACATGTAAGCATGGTTTAGAACAAGGAAGTTATTAATCATTGAACTTAAGTAGATTGTTGCATCATGAAAATCAAGGCATGAAACTGGAGGAATAATGCTGACAAGGCAGTTGAAGCTGATCATACCAGTAAAAAGTGTCCTTTTGGGTTGAATTTTTCGCACTTCCTCTAAGGCCTGAAAAGAAAGATCGGAATAAAGTTATTTCTCCAAGAAATAAAAATCAACAGATGTGAAAGGAATTACCCTTGGAAGTCCAAAATGTGTAGCTGAAGAGCGATCAGGCCTCAAAGCATCCTGTAGAAAGTAGAATCATACACATTATGAGGCAAAGAAAAACAGTGCCCTATTTCATTTTTTATTAATGTGAAAATGGTGAAGTTTATGGCAAGATAGAAATGATGGGAGGGTGAGCTGAGTCACCATGATTAGAAGTTCACAGTCCTTCAAAAGTGGATAAGTTTCTTCGGGAATTTCACTGACATCACTGCAAATTTCGATACAAGATCAACTCCTGTAATTATTATTGATAAAAAAATTGGACTGAATTATACTATAAGCAAAAACTTTTCCACTTATTTCGAAACATTACCTTATGTAACATATATTACCAAAACGAAAACCAAGGGACCGATAACCTTGACCGTGCCACACTGGTAGTGGGATAAACTGAAGTACAATCATAAAAAGAAAAATAAATTAGAGCCAAGCCCCAAGCACGAGAACTTCATGGTCAGAAAGTAAGAGTTTAATAGGTATATACCGTAAGTGTAAATTAGTTTTTCACTGACATCCAATGGGAGTCCGATACTTTTTCATGTCATGCCACTAATTTAGAAATGCAGCAACAATAGTAGACTAATGTGAAAAAATAGTGAATTTTTGTTATATTTAGTGTGAAACTAGTTTATATTTTACGCTGACAGTTAAATCTATTAAAAAATTGAGCAAAAAATGAGAAATTAAATTGAGAGAAAGAGAATATGAAAAAGAGCCAAAATATCCACACTTCATTCATTTACAATTCATAATAATACCAACCTTCAATCCATGAACAAAAAATGGTTCTTCAGATATACTTTTGAATTGCAACGCTGAGACTGCAGCACCAGGTGTGATTACGCTTGTATCTACTAAGTAATAATGGGTCTTCTTCATAACCTGCATATTTCAGTAATGAATACATGAGCAAGAAAAGATTTCCCCTAAAAAGTTTCTTCATTTCTCAGTATCAATCTAAATAATGAAACTGATTGTAAATTTATAGCAGGTTAGTAAGCGAAAAGCATAACTATAACTATAATGCAAGATGGACAACTTCCCTCCCTGAATTTCGGAAGCTATAATAGTGAAAAAAATTGTTCCATCACACAAATTAGAATATAGAACCTCTGGATCAAGATATTATACGCAAACTTCTAATAAGCAACTCTCTAGTCTTCATATTATATACCATGAGGAGAAAGATTTGGTCCTTCTAAATTTTTAACTACAGTTCATTATATACATCTTTTTCAAATGCATAATGAAATTACGTAATTTAAATGTTGAAGTTGATGCAGATACTAACTTGTGATAACTGTTAAGTAGCATATATAAATACATACTTCAATAATACCAGCTGTGCACCTTCCTTGGGTAATCCCAGAGAAGGCATAAATACCATTTAAACATGTTGATATTGTTAGAGCATGTGGGTTGAGCCTAACTCTAATACGGTATTAGAGCCAGATTTAAGATCCATTGGACCACTTGTCATCAGGTTTCTACTATCGGCCCACCACACTTCCGCTGCGCTCAATAGCAGAAACTATATAGCAGGTGACTCAACGGATCATAAACTTGGCTCTGGAACCATATTAGAGTTAGACCCAACCCACATACTCTAACAGATATAAATGCAACATAAAATTCTAATAGTATTGCAAATTCTGATGAAAACATTGATTTCTTAAATATGGCGAGTATGTGTGGGAGTCCCTACCAGTTTCCACATTTGATCTTAATAATAGCAATGAGTCCTAGACATATAGAGAACATGCAGATGAAGAAAGTAAAATTGAAAGCTTTAATTTCAGAAGGAAAGAACAAAGGAGAGGACCTCAAAGTCACGATTGGCAACATAAATTGGAATAGAAGGCTGAACATTGTTAGTCCAGTCTCTAAGATCATCAAGACCTGGGGAGAAGAGAGAAAGAGATTTAGTCTATATTCCTAGTTAGATTTCGTATTACTTCAGACAAGAGTTGTATTTGTCATATTATTGCTATTAATTATCCAAAGAGCATTAGAAAGTATTGATGTCAGAGACCTCCAATTGCATCAGCATGAGAATGAGTAATAATAACTGCATCAAGTGTTCTTATCCTGACAGAAATACAACTAGTTAAAGAGGTATTTAAAACAAATAAAAACAAAGTTGAAAAATACAAGAAAACCAGCAAGAATGCCATCTACATCATAAATTCTCTAGACTCAATAATAATCCCAATCATAATATTAACACAAACTTAACCCGTACACTCTTGCATATTCCCATACAAGCCACTGGACAACACCCTAGTCCCACTACAACATTTTAAGAACCGTCCTAATGGTGCATATACCTCACATAGTTCGTGCAGGTATCTAGTATCTACTCCATTTTGCAAGCTATGTGATTCATTCTACTTGCAGTTCTTAACCCTTATTAAAGTTGTAGAGTATTTCTCCTAAAAGCAATATGGAAAACAGGAGAAGCTATCTCAAATAACATCAAAAACAGCTAAACAAATGAACATGTTAACTAACCCAAATTCAGGGAACCACTTGAGAGCGCTGTGATAGAAAAACCTGCAACAATGAAATTTTGTTATCAGCACCCAAATGAAGCAAACTGTTTTCTTTGAAACTGGCGTTTAACCCAATCTCAGTTTTAAGAATTCAATATATTCATACTCATATACGACTATTTCCAAACACGGTATATATCATAGCATGACTAGGCAACCCAACCTTAAATCCACTCATACAATATCCTCAAGAGAAATAAGAGAAAAAACAATACAAAAACAACCAAGTCTTATCTCACTAAGTGGGGTCGGCAATATGGATCAACTTGTGTGGCATAATGTTCTATACAGGACTATGCTTCTATCCAAATCGTTAATCTCAAGATTTTTCTTAATAACTTCTCTTATGTTCTTTCTAGGTTTTCTTCTCTCTCTAATTGTTTGACTTCTCTCCATTTGATATATTCTCCTTACCACAGAACCTACACGTGTTCTCTCTACATGTCCAAACCATTCAAGTCTATTTCTCACCATCTTCTCTACTATAGGTGCTACTCCAACACTCTAATATTTTCATTTATAATCCTAATATGTCTAGTCTTACCATACATCCAACGCAAAATCCTCATCTATGCTACAAGAGAAAAAAAAACAATAAGGAAAAAAAAACACATTCACTCGTTGACAGCCACACTTCTATAATGACAAAAGAGATGCATATATCCATGTACATTCTACAATCTCAGCTAGTCAGTACTTAAGCCGTTGACAATTTTTCTAATACATAAACTGTGATCAAAGTGAAAACAAAATTCCTTCACTTGCAAATGAATAAATTTCAAGCTTCTCCGGCATACAACATGAAATATACAAGCAAAACATTGCAAGAAGGCCACAATCACTATATATGGATTTGTTAACTGTTGAATATTAGCACAAAATCAAAACAGATTCTGTCATACAGCTCATTATGGCTGGATTCAAATTGTGATTAAATAGAAATTAATTGTATTATTATATTCTTACCTTATTTAGGATTAGCATTTATAGGGAGAATAATTACCCCTATTTCTTAGTGTAATTTATATTCTATAAATACTCATGTACTATGTTACAGAAAAATATAATAGAAAAAGCATATTTCTATATGGTATCAGTAGCGACAAGAATCCTTTAGGGTTTTTTTTTTGCTTCCGCTCTGTTTATCTTTTTTACATCCCACAATGTCTGATACCGAGTCCTCACTTTCACCCAAACATTCTTCACCCGAACCTAAATTAGTCCGAACGTACCATGAAAACCACCCTGTTCAGATCACAACAATTCGGCTGAACGGTGCTAATTATCTTCGATGGTCGCAATCCGTTCGTATGTATCTCAGGGGGAGAGGAAAGATTGGCTACATTACTGGCGACAAAAAACAACCAGACAAGGCAGGTGCAGATTATGATACATGGGATGCTGAAAACTCCATGGTCATGACATGGTTAGTCAACTCCATGGATGAAGAGATAGGTGCAAATTATCTCTGTTATGATACTGCAAAAGAACTTTGGGAAGGTGTCTCCCAAATGTACTCTGATTTGGAAAATCAATCCCAAATCTACGAATTAACTCTCAAATTGGGAGAAATTCGGCAAGGTGAAGATTCAGTCACCAAATACTTCAATTGTCTCAAACGTATTTGGCAAGATTTGGACCTTTTCAATGAGTATGAGTGGAAATCACCTGCCGATAGCAAACATTACAAGAAGATGGTGGATGTTAGTCGTGTTTTCAAGTTCCTTGCGGGTCTAAATGTTGATTTTGATGAGGTTCGTGGCCGAATTCTAGGCAGAAATCCTATCCCTCCAATTGGTGAAGTTTTTTCAGAAGTACGTCGCGAAGAGAGTCGTCGGCAAGTGATGCTTGGCAAAAATACAGCAGCTGTCCCTCCACCAGTTGAAGGATCTGCCTTGGCAATTCCCCATGTCAATCGTAAACCACTTCATAATCAACGAGGTGGAGACAAGACTCATTTATTTTGCGATTACTGTGGGCGCAATCGCCACACTCGGGAAACTTGCTACAAACTACATGGGCGACCAAATCATGGCAAGGCTGGTAAGTTTGGTGATCGTCCTATGCCTATGGCCAATGAGGCTGATTCGTCTCCATGTACGAAGGAGCAAATGGATAACCTTCTTAAGTTTCTAAAGTCCAATTCATCTCTTAATATCCCTACTGGAACTGTGGCACAAACAGGTAAGGATTCTTGGGCACTATCTGCTCACAACCACTCTAACCCTTGGATAATAGATTCAGGGGCATCTGAACACATGACTAATTGCTCTCATCTATTCAGTACCTATTTTCCTAGTTCAGGTTTTGAAAAAGTTAGGATAGCTGATGGTAGTTATTCAAGTATTGCAGGCAAAGGCAGCATAAAAATTTCAGAGCAAATCACTTTGCAATCTGTTTTACATGTTCCTAAATTCGCTTGTAATCTTCTATCTGTTCATAAATTGTCTAAGGACACTAATTGTTCTGTTCTTTTTCGTCCCTCTACTTGTGTTTTTCAGGACCAGAACTCGGGGAAGACGATTGGAACTGCTAGAGAGATGAATGGATTGTACTACCTTGATGGAATTCAGTTTGGCAATAAAGCGTTTTTCGGTTCAAACAGTACAAACGCATCTCCTGTTTCAGATCAAATTATGTTATGGCATAAAAGATTAGGTCACCCTAGTTTTTCATATCTTAAGCATTTGTTTCCTATTTTTTCCAAAGAAATAAATTCCTCACAATTTCATTGTGAAGCTTGTCACTTAGCTAAAGATCATCGTGTGTCTTTTAAATCAAAAGCCTATTCTGCTTCTAAACCTTTTTATTTAATTCACAGTGATGTTTGGGGTCCTTCAAAAATTAAAACTATGTCTGGAAAAAAAATGGTTTGTAACATTTATTGATGATCATACACGGCTGTGTTGGGTTTATCTCATGGAGAAAAAATCAGAAGTTGAACAAAGATTTCAAGATTTTTTTAACATGATTAACAATCAATTTCAAACTAAGATTGGCATTCTAAGGTCTGACAATGGCACTGAATATTTCAACAAATATTTAAGTACATTCCTTGTAACTAAGGGGATAATTCATCAATCCACTTGTCGCGATACTCCGCAGCAAAATGGTATTGCTGAAAGAAAAAATAGACATCTCCTCGAAGTCACTAGAGCTATTATGTTTTCTATGAATGTACCTAAGTATCTTTGGGGAAATGCTTTATTAACTGCTTGTCACCTCATCAATCGAATGCCATCTCGGGTGTTACAATATGAAAGTCCTGTACAAGTGTTACAAAACAATTTTCCTACATCTCGTATTATTACGGATCTTCCCCTTAAAATTTTTGGTTGTCTTTGTTATGTTTACATCCCCAATGTTTTTCGTTCTAAGTTGGATCCTAAAGCCGAAAAATGTGTTTTTCTTGGCTATGCTTCCAATAAAAAGGGATACAAATGTTTTAACCCAGTTACAAAGAAATTTTTTGAAAGCATGGATGTTCACTTTGTTGAAAATCAACCTTTTTTTAAAAATTCTCTTCAGGGGGAGAGTCAATGTAATAATAAAGAAGATAATTTTTGGGAAACTTTGCCTGCTCTAGATGATATTGTGACTACAAATCACCCAAATGCTAAGATAATAGAATCTGAAACAGGGGGAGAAACACTGATTAAGGATGATAATCCTGAACTTAAAGTGTATGTTCGAAAAAAATTCCACAAAGGTGGTGCAAACCCTATTGTCTCTCCAGTAGAAATCCAATCTGATTTACCAAGTGAAGGTCCTACAGATAATCTGTCTTCTAGTTCTTCATCTGGTAATCCTTCTTACTCATCCAATGATTTATCTGATTTGTCTTTTCCTGATATTAATCTTCCAATTTCTGTGAGAAAAAATATTCCTGACCTCGATGTCCCAATTGCTGAGAGGAAAGGTTCTCGTATGTGCACTAAACATCCTATGTCTAATTACTTGTCATATGACAAACTATCACACACCCATAAGGCATATGTGTCTAGGATTTCTAATTTGTTTGTGCCCAGAACTATTCAGGAAGCATTAAGTGATCCGAATTGGAAATTAGCAGTGAAAGAAGAGATGGATGCTCTAAACAAAAATAACACTTGGAGTATCACTGATCTACCACAAGATAAAAAGGCAGTAGGGTGTAAGTGGGTCTTTACAGTGAAATGCAAGGCTGATGGAAGTGTGGAAAGATACAAAGCGAGATTAGTAGCAAAAGGATTTACTCAAACTCATGGTATTGATTACCAAGAGACTTTTGCCCCAGTTGCTAAGATCAATTCTATCAGAATTCTTCTTTCTCTTGCAGTAAATTTCAACTGGACACTATATCAATATGATGTTAAAAATGCCTTCTTGAATGGTGAATTACATGAAGAAGTATATATGAGTTTACCTCCTGGATTTGAAAAAAATCTTGGAAGAAACAAAGTATGCAGATTGAGAAAATCCCTATATGGATTGAAACAATCGCCAAGGGCCTGGTTTGAGAGATTTGGAAGTGTTGTTAAGAGACACGGTTTCACCCAAAGTCAAGCAGATCACACTATGTTCTTTAAACACTCATCTGAAGGTAAGATTGCTATCTTAATAGTGTATGTTGATGACATTATTATTACAGGAGATGACGTCAAAGCAATTAGTGATCTGAAGAGAAGACTTGAGGCTGAGTTCGATATCAAGGATCTTGGAAAGTTAAAATACTTTCTTGGGATGGAGTTCGCAAGATCTAAAGAAGGTATTTTTCTCAACCAGCGCAAGTACATACTCGATTTACTTGCAGAAACAGGGATGACAGGGTCTAAAGCAGTAGAAACACCAATGGATCCCAATGTGAAACTAAAGTCAGTTGCTGAAGATGAAATAGTAGATAAAGAACGTTATCAACGATTGGCTGGAAGACTAATTTATTTGTCACATACAAGGCCAGATATAGCCTTTGCAGTGAGTGTAATAAGCCAATTTATGCATGCACCAGGTGCAGCCCATTTTGAAGCTATTTTCAGAATATTAAGATATTTGAAAGGTACTCCGGGAAAGGGGCTGATATTCAGAAATAGAGGACATATACAGGTTGAAGCCTATACAGATGCTGATTGGGCAGGTAATATAAATGATAGAAGGTCTACCTCAGGATATTGTACTTTTGTAGGTGGAAATCTAGTTACATGGAGGAGCAAAAAACAAAATGTTGTAGCCAGGAGCAGTGCAGAAGCTGAATTCCGATCTGTGGCCCATGGTTTTTGTGAAGTATTATGGATCAAAAAGTTCATGGAAGAATTGAAGTTCTTTGGCCCAACTCCAATTAAAGTTTACTGCGATAATAAGGCTGCTATTTCTATTGCCCATAATCCTGTCCTACATGACAGGACGAAGCATGTTGAAGTGGACAAGCATTTCATCAAAGAAAAAATTGACAGCGGTGAGATTTGTATGTCCTACATACCTACCAAAAGTCAAGTAGCAGATGTTCTCACAAAGAGTCTTCCAAAGAGACTGTTTGATAACATGGTGTGCAAGCTTGCTATGAACGATATATTCATGCCAGCTTGAGGGGGAGTGTTGAATATTAGCACAAAATCAAAACAGATTCTGTCATACAGCTCATTATGGCTGGATTCAAATTGTGATTAAATAGAAATTAATTGTATTATTATATTCTTACCTTATTTAGGATTAGCATTTATAGGGAGAATAATTACCCCTATTTCTTAGTGTAATTTATATTCTATAAATACTCATGTACTATGTTACAGAAAAATATAATAGAAAAAGCATATTTCTATATTAACATTCTATTAGAGTTTTGAAGAATTAAAAAAAAGAAATGAAACTCTAATTCGGGAAAAACCTAAAACATCAAGAAATCTCATCTTGGACTGAAATCAAAATTAAAGGAAGAAAACGATCACCCTAATTCATAACCATTAACCAAACACAATTGCAATACATATTACAAATGGAAATTTGAAAGTTGAAACATACTTTCCAGCATCTATAAGAATATTATGCGTTCCTGTGGAGTTTGGGTGGCGAATGAGGATGCTTGTGTTAAGTCTCCTATTCTTATCACCCGGTTTAGAAGCTTTTAAACAGACCTGAAATAGCCATAAAAAGAAAAGTCAAAAACAACTCTCTCAACAAATATTCTTCAATATAAATCCTTAAAAAAACACTAGCACAAGGACATCACTCATCAGACACAACCCTGAGACTAACATGTCGACACCCATTATAGTTTAAGAAAATGAAAGTCCTACTAAGTCTCTTAACAAACATTCTCTAAGTGATTAAATGTAAACAATGATAATATCTTAAATCTTAAGTTTTGGTACTACCCTCACTCTGTAGCACCGACACCTAAAAGCATGTCAGCGTGTCAGTATTGGACACTGAGAGCAACACTTATGATTATGTTTAATATATTCATATTTTCAAATTATATCAGTGTCGATTTGTCAATGTCAATGTTGGTGCTACATATATTTCATACTCAAATTATGACTTTATGACAAGATAAAATGATAGGATCGATTATTGTACCGGACATTTATTTGAAGGATTAGTCAAGCAGCTAACTCTTGGAATCCCTTCACTAGTTCCAGTCCCAATGAAAATAACTTGTGATTGATCAACAGGCAATTCAACATCACCAACTCCATTGGAAGAAACTGCAACACAAATTAAACTATAATAATCAAATTTCATAATAAGAAATCAAGAATTTGTTATAAAATCATGATAGCTACTCGATAATTTAAACCTAGAAAAAATTGAATAAAAATATAAATTTGAAAGCAATAAGTAAGTGGTGGTTAGTTACCTGAGTGGATGGGAGAGAGTGGAAATGAGACGGAAGAAGGAGAACGCCAACGCCATGAATATGGAGAACGAGGTTGAAGGAGAGAAGTGAGAGAAGAAGGAAGAAGACGAATAGATGTAACCACCATTGATTGGTTGAGTTGTGTTGTGTTGACAGTCGCTTACACGTTGATAGTTGGCGAAAAATACAAGAATTATTTTTCACTATATACAAAATAGTTTTGCATATACATTTAATTACATCTAATGATTATATATTTGTATTTTACGGTAAAAAGTTTATATTTATATTTAAAAAATAATAAATTAACTTATTTTTATCAAATAAATGATATTTATAAAGGCTATTTTAATACTTTAAAACACATTATTTTTGTAAAAAAAAAATTATCCAATTATATATAAGTAACAACTTCCTACTAGCAAAAGACTAATAATCAATCTATTAGAATAAAAATAGGCATACTAAGGTCAATAATCAATCTAATATCCAAACATTAATAAGGAAAGATGTAAAAACTTCAAAGACATAGTTATATTATGAAGAGACAAATTATCAATGTTTTATGTAAAGTTTGTCTTGAGATTAATTAGGATAGTATAAATAATACTAGAATTTGCTTCTAAGTGTGTCATTTTTACAAAATTTATTGAGGTGTTTAAGTATTTGTCTCTGAATGTAATATCAAAAATAGAAATATTGAATTGAAGCTTACCTTAAATGTGTGTCTATGAAGAGGAAGAAGAACAAAATATACACCCTGACTTGGATGAACAAATAGAACGACGATGGAATAAAGAAATAAGCACGATAATAAATGAAACAAATGGAAAGAAATATAATTTCGAAATGATGAAATAAGATTATATTTATATAAAAAGAGGGAACATTCATTTTTTTACCATTAAAAATAGAAGGAAAAAAATGTAGATTTGTTTCCTTAATGCACTGTCTAATTTTCATTCTATGTAGAAAAAATTGAATAAAAAACTCGTGGGTAAAACCCACCTCGGCCCGTCCCTACCCCGTTTTTAAATAGATTAGGCGGGACAGATCAACTTAAGGCACTAAGCTGAAAATCTCAATCCATCCCACAAAAAATGGAGGATCAAACAGGCAAGTCCGGCGGACCTGACCCGTTTTCCACCCATATCTAAAATATAAAATAAAATATTATACATAATGGTACTAGTTCATCATAATAGTGTAAGTACATGAGATTTCATGGAAATGTATCACTAATATTGTTAACAATAGTGAATACATAAAAATGTAGAGAAGGAAAAAGACCATTTGGGTTAGGGTTTCAATGGAATGAACAAAAACTAGAGAATAAGGGTTACACCAGAGTATAAATATTATATGCTAGAAAAATATCAAACTACCCTTACAAAGATACAATAAAACAATATAATAATAATAATAATAATAATAATAATAATAATAATAATAATAATAATAATAATAATTTCTAACATCTCCCCTCAAGCTTAAGATTCATTAGTAGGAAACATCGAGAGTTTGTCAATCAAAAAATGAAAATGTTTAATGTAATGCGTCTTCGTAAACAAATCAGTAACCTGCAAAGCGAATGAGACAAACGATAGAGTAATTTCTCATGCTGAAGATGATGGTGAGTGAAGTGACAATCAATCTCAATGTGATTGATACGTTCATGAAAGACCGAGTTATGGGCAATTTGAGTGGCATTCTTGTTATCACAATACATGGGAATTGGTTCAGAAAGAATGTTACCCATATCAGAAAGTAACCAACGTACCAAACTACTTTAGTAGTGGTGGATGTCATAGCATGATACTCAGCTTCTGTAGAAGAACGAGAGACAATATCTTATTTCTTACTCTTCTAATAAATAAGCGAGTCTTCAAGAAAGATACAAAGCTCTGTGGTAGACTTAAGATCTGTAGGGTTGTCAGCCCAATTAGCATCAAAATAATTCCATCCATATCATCACCTGTAATAATCATATCATCAACATATAATAAGAGTAAAATATGACCATGACAAGTGGTCTTGACAAACTGAGCAGAATCATAATCACTAGAGAGAGAATTAATAGATGTAATCACAATGGTAAACTTCTCAAACCAATTTCGTGGAGCTTGTTTCAGACCATATAGAGATTTCTTCAACTTACACACTTCCTCTTGATTATGAGAAACACCTTGTGGGGGTACCATATAAACTTCCTCTTGAAGACCATCATTTAGAAAAACATTTTTAACATCCATTTAAGAAATATCCGTTGATGAATAGATGCAACTGCAATAAACGTGTGTATAATAGTCATCTTAGCAATAGGAGCAAAAGTTTCTACTCCACACCATATTGCTAAGAGAATCCCTTAGAAATAAGACGTGCTTTATAGCGCTCAACTGATCCATCAGACATAGTTTTGGTCTTATATATCCAACAAGACCTAATAACACATTTTCCAGGAGGAATAGGTACTAATTCCCAAGTATCTGTTTTATACAAAATAGATAGTTCTTCTATCATAGCCTGCTGACAAAGAGGGTCGAAAATAGCCTCTTTATAGGAATAGGGCTCAGATAAACTGTGGATAAATGTTAGAAAAGAAGCGAAAGAAGCAAAATAAGTGGAATAGGTGATAAATGCTAAATTGTACTGATTTTAAATGTGAATAATTGGCACTTATTAGCTCGATTAGTGGTTTTCTATTAATAATCACCCATTTTTGTGTATATTTTGTATAGTTAACATTATAATGTGTAATATGCATTTTTTGTGTACATATTGTTGAATTTAACAGTTTTTCATCTGTTTTTATAGGTAATGATGCATGGTTGAAGTATGGACCCATTTGAGTAAAGAGGGATGCTTTAAATGCAGAATTTTGGAGTCAAAATAATGTCATTCGCACTTAGCGTGCTTGGAATTGGATGGCAATAGTTCGAGTATTTTTGTTTTCTTAACCCCGCTTGGCGCGAGCAGGACTGCTCTTAGTGCGCTTTAAGGCGGTTTAAGGGTATTTTAAGTGAGATCGCGCGCTTAGCGCAATTGTAATAAATATCATTTTTTCTAATTTTATTTTATCTTATTTTTGTAGGTATTTAAGCAAGGAGATTTTATCATTTTCATATACAACATTAAATAAACTTTTCAACGCTTCCGACCGTGCGTCAATCAGAATTACGGTTCGAAAGTTATGAAGAAAACAAGAATTGCGATTTTGCCGATGGTGTAAGCGCCCTCATAGCGCGCTTAGCGAGGTTCGCGTCATTTCAGCCCCTATTTAAGTCACTTTTCAGAATTTTTTGAATTATGTTTTTTGGATCTTTTAACCCCAACTTCATCAAACACTTTTTTGGAGTTTAGAAAGCTTTAACAACATCAATGGAGGTTGCAACTCATTAATCCGAGATTGAAGCTTCTTTAATTGTGATTGACACCACGAGAGATTTTGATTCTTCTCTTTTCTTCCCTTTGTAGTTTCCATTTGTGGGGTTTGTATGTAAGTTTGCTCTGATTTTATGTATATATATTGATCATGGCATTGTATGCGAGCTATTTTACAAATCTTTATCAGTGTTATCCTTGTTTTACTCGCTTTATGTTTATATTTGAGTTGTGGTAGACATATCCTCTTCGAATCTGGATCTAGGATGAATATCTGTTAGGTTCTGAACTCTAGAGATAGATTTAGATCTAACATTCACCGTGGGTATCTATTATTAATGTTCCGTGTTGTCGAGTTGCGTGAGACATCATCGATGAGGTAATGCGGTTGTTCTCTCAACTTTGTGTTAGAAATAACCTTTGTTGTGAGCGATACGTGGGAGTATTGATGGATGATTTAGGTTGTGTACAACTGATTAGTAGATTTTGTATTTGATGAGTAGAAGGAAATATAACTCGCGTCGAGTTTTTTCCTCTCTAAAGAATGTATTGATTTTCTTGTTCATATGTTTTCTTCTTGCATTTTACTCTCATACCATTTAAAACCAAGCTTAGATATGTAGAAATTTTCGAACGACATTCTTTCCCTTGAACCGATTCCTGTGGAGACGACAAAACTGGGTACTAAATTAATTTTTGCTTGCTGCTTTACCGCTTCAACAAAATGGCGTCGTTGTCGAGGATTAGCTTTGATATTGAATCACATTGCGATAATTTCTATGTTTTTAAGCTTTATACATACTTGTCCATAGTTGTTTTCCATATGTGATTGTGCATATTTGTTTTCATTTTGTTTGTTCACTTATCATATATATATATATATATATATATATATATATATATATATATATATATATATATATATATATATATATATATATATATATATATATATATATATATAGATATATAGATATATATATATATATAGATATATAGATATATAGATATATATATATATATATATATATATATATATATATATATATATATATATATATATATATATATATATATATATATATATATATATATATATATATATATATATATATATATATATATATATATATATATATATATATATATATATATGTTATCCGTCATGTTTGTTTGTGCATATTTTTGTTTTATATTTACGTTTGCTCAAAATGTTGTGCAGGTTTATTTGATAGTAGTCGGTGAATCAAGCAACATGGAGGAGCTTGTACGTAAATAAGACGTCGAGCTTACGACGTGAAACAAGCGCTTGTTGGGAGGCAACCTAATAATTTTTTGAGTTTGTACAATTTTATATTTAGTATTATAGTTAAAATAAGGTGAGAGTGGAGGGATTGAATGAGAGAAAGAACTTGAAAAACTCAGCAAGCCTGTGTGCACTTAGCATGCACAAAAGGCGCTTAGCGCGCCTTGCTTTTTATGGAAAAACTCTTTTGCTCTCTAATCCACTTTCACCCATTTTGTTAGTATATGTTTATTAGTTTTCATTTGACTTTTTAAGTTTTAGAATTTTTTGTGTTTGTTCTCAAGTTTTGTTTTTTATTACCATTCAAAACAACAATGTTTAAAAAATAAGTAGCAATTAATAGAAAATAAAATGCATATGATAAAAGCGCCTAAGGACTGCCAATGTTGAGGACGTCTGCCTATCTGGACCACTGGCTTTTGGAAATGACCCTTGAAATC